ATATATATATATATATAATATTATTATTATTATTACTATTTATTCATAAATACTTAACTTTTGATTATTTTTCTTAAAACATAGAACAATAAATAAAAAATATTGAAAAACAGTGATTTCTAGTACTTGTGATGTTATGAAATAGACTTACACTTGTGTCGTACTTGTTAAGCCTTGTTAATTCTCTGAACTGGAGGGGAAGACAAATTAATTTTTGTGTAGTTTCCAAAGATGCATTTTAGAAAATCAAAAAATTGTCAAATTATGATACTGATACACATTAAACATTGTAATTTATCTGGCTTTCTAACTAAACTATATGGCAGTTTAAAAAAAAATTTCTGTTCAGAGCAATGACTTAGTCAACATACTACAACATTTACAGTAAAAATCTGGCTTTCCCCTTTAAGCCAGTTACAAATGACTAAGTAAGATGTAAGTAGTTTGAAATGTGCTTTTTCTATTGGTTATAAACTTAAGAAGAGTAGACAAGAGGTTTCAAAAGAATGGATTAGTTAGAGGGACTATTGTAGTTGGTTTGCTAAATATATTAATCTCTGCAAATCAAAAGATAGAAGGTTCATATTTTATATTCTAGCTTGTCAGTATCTGAAATTTGAGTTTATAATTCATTAACCACTATAGAGATTATATGGTAACATAATACTATAAACTGACCAACAAGGCAATAAGACATACAATGTGATACACAAGAAAGGATATTTATAATTTTTGTTTTTTAATATTTTTCTTTCAAATTATGAAATTAAAACAGGAATATGATATTTAAATTGGAATCAAAAACTACATTTTGATGCCAATTTTATTGACATACATTGATAATAAAGTTGATTAATTAAATTTTGAAAATAACTAAAATGTCATGACATGCGCCCTTTGACCTGTTCATAATAAGAGAGATAACAAGTAGAAAGTTTAGACAAAGTTGTAATATATATATTAAGTCAAGTAGTAATATAAAAATGTAATTTTTAAACCAGCTATACCTGGACATTTGTTGTTGTTAAATGATAGAAGAATTTCTATATGCTTGTATATTTTTGTTTTCATAGATTTAAATAAAGATGGCTAGAGGACACCAAAAAATACAGTCTCAGCAGAAAAATCAAAAGAGACAACAAGAACTGAAGAAGCAACAAGGACATGATCAAAAGACAGCAGCTCAAAAAGCCTTGATTCATACCTGTACAGTTTGTAAGGTAATCAAAACAAATTTTTTATCAAAGAGTTTTGTTCAGTTTAGACCTAGACCGCCTGGAAGTTTCACAGTGTTACACAACTGTTTTTAAGAAGACATATATAAATAGCATGAATAATATGCGTATCTTTAGAGAAACCTTAATCACACAAGTGCAGAAGTATATAGTACTTGTTCTGAAATTAAATTTTTCCTGGGCATTTGTAGGGCATATTTGTCCAGGCTGCACAGGTGGTATTGGCAATGAACTTTAACTGTATTATTTTTGTGTATTCATAGATTGTGTCATGCTCAAGTAAAATCGTAGCTCTCTATATACATTTATCTTTGCTTTTGTATTCTCAGCATAACATTAACCAGTACACCACAAACTGCATGCAATATAACTTGATAATTTAATTAACACTGAGTGCTGTGACAATTATAATTTTCAGGTTTATTTTCAGAAGGCAACATTTCTTTTAAGGGGGTTTTATGTTTGACTCCATTTTTATGCTAAGCATGACTTCTCTGAAATCAGTATCTTATGTTAATGCACATGTATGTACCCAGATCCGTAAACTTTGCTTTTATTTGAAAATTGTCTCACAAGTTTTCAGTGAGCATCCTTTTGTTATTATCATTGGACGAACCCTGTATTGGAGAAGGAATGTTAACTATACTTCCAAACTTACTGTGCATATCTACATGAAATTTGGCACATTTTTAGTAAAATTCACAAGTCTGTTGTACAAAAAAAATCAGATGAGTTACAAAGGTATTTTTGCTCAAGATATGTATGTGAACTGATGACATGAGTCTGACTCAGACTAAGAAATCGTAGTGCGAGGTAGCGTTCATGTGAAAAATAAAAATACTTTTGTTCATTGTACTTTAAAAATGTATACCTACAGTTGTTTTCAGTATCCCTTTACACTGTATTTGGTATTTATTCTCCTCTACCATAAACTATCACTAAATCAGCAGTGTAGGATAAAATTAATAGTTGATAACTGAATTTCACTGTAAAAGGTTGTGGTATACACACTTTGATCCCCACCCATGTACATATGGTTAATTTATTATTTTATAATAAATACTGTGTACCATGTCTCGGACAAGGGCTTCTAATAGGAAATATTTCTGGTTAAGTTATGTATATGTTGGTATTGAACCTGATGTGAATTGTTCTGTAGCAGAATTTGTATAAAAGTTGTATGCATTTATTATTCACCAAATCGTTTTTATATTCCTTATGTTGAAATGATACAGATTTTGTAACTTTAGTTTCTAAAATCACCAGTTTTGTGTATTGACTTTTCTTAAGCAAAATCATGCAGTCTGTATTTTTTCTAGATTTAATAGAATTAGACAAATTTAAGTTGATATAAAAAAAGCTATCAAACTTAAAATATAAACTAAGCAGTGTTTAACTTGCAGGTAAGTTTATGAGGTAAAGTGTAAGATGATCAATAAGGAGTTTTCATCAAAACAGTATAAACATTGGTGTTAATCAAAGTACTAAAGTTTGGTACTTTAATGATGTATATTTCAAGTGACTTTAAGTGCATAATAAATATGATGTACAAGTGAAACTGAAAACAAATTTTAATTCTAAATGTTAGTCTGAAAGTCATAAAATATGGTGCAAAAGTGAAACTGAAAACAAATTTTAATTCTAAATGTTAGTCTGAAAGTCATAAGTTATAGATTATTTTAATGTTAAGATGGTTTTATAGGAACATTGTACCCCAGGAAAATTCTACAACACAACCACATCAGTTTACTCGATGACATTAATCTGTGCAGTTTATAGTGAGATTTGTTGAAACTTTACACAGCTTAGTTTAAAAACTACATAGTCCTATATTATGATTTAAGATTGGTTTGAGTTCATTTGAGTAAACAATAACTTTTTTCCCAAAATATTAATGGAAAAATAATGAAAGATAACTGTCAAGACCAGGAGCATGATATGACTCCATAAATTGGGTAGTGCACCAGATAGTCCATCCATGATGGGGAAAACACGAGTCCAAGGACCCAAGTGGTTCATGGAAGCTGGAGGCTTTTTTTAAGGTGCTCTAAAATGAAATCTGAGGCTCTTGTCGACTTAAAATATATGCATACAAAACTAATATCTTTACCTCAGTGTGGTTCTAAATTGTTCAAGAAAATGTTAAAGGCCAAAATGAGAGAAACAAATCATTTGAGGTAAAAGTGTAATGATTCTCTAAATCTAAAAAAAAAGTTACATTTGTCATAACACATTAGTATTAGGCTTGTATATATATAACATTACATTCTTTATTTGGTCCCTTATGGTTTCTCCAAAAAGAGTAGTGTATACAATTATTTCAACCATAAAAAGGTGTTGAAACCATAATAATAAAAATAAACAGACTTTAATCCTTTCCAGAAAATGTTGAAAACAAATCTGTACTGATGAATGTGAATTACAGATTAAAACTGATGAATGCACATGCCACAAACTTCAAGTGTGTTGTCGTGAATGTAGTTTTAAAAAGTCATACAGATTAAACTTCACTTTTTGACAAATCAAATTTATTATAAAAACTAATCTTCCACCTACATTTTGGCATGTACTGGCTGCCAATTGAATCACTGCCTTGGTAAGAAAATGTTTAGGAGTCTTAGAAAGCTTCCTGTTGGCCAAACTTGTAGATAGTGTACTACTTCCGCCAATGATGATTCTGAGTAAAATACAATTAGTTGTATAAAGAGAACTTTTATAACTGTTATAGATTATCTGTGGGAGTAGGAATATACTAACACAGCATTCAAACAATAGAACAGTTTTGCAAGCAGACACAAATATATTGGCCCAGGTGGAGAAAGACTTTCTGTGAGTTTGTGTTCTGTAGGATAAGATGTAAGTTCAGTGTGTTACTGCTGGTCTTTGAGAAATAAAAATCCATATTGCAGTTAAAAAACACATTTGCCAGAATGGTGAGAATACTTTATAGCCATTGGCTTTCAAACAGGTTAAAAACTACATAAATATCACTGATAACTGTTAAAAACCAAGAACAAAATTCAACAAGTCTTTTTAACATGATTTCATATATTTAAGAAACTTGATAACTTTAGTGGTAAAATATTATAACAATCTTCTTTTTTTAATTTTACAAAGGCTCAGATGCCAGATCCAAAAACCTATAAGCAACATTTTGAAAATAAGCATCCAAGAACTCCACTTCCCGATGATCTCAAAGACTCATGACCACTAATAGAGGATGAAAAGAAGAGACTGCACCAGTTTTTTGGAAGTGGCCAGTTATACAGAGACATGTTTATTCTAATACAGTGTATCTTTTCATTTCATCTTTATTTGGACTTTTTTAATATGAAATTTTACAATACTCTGATGAATTGCGGGTTTTCTTGACACACCTAAATGTTTGGAATAGTATTATGCAATTTTTTTTTTATCAGCCTCTTGTATGATGTTGTACACCTATTAAATGAATTTATAAAATGTTTTGTGAATCAAGCATTTAATTCAAATGAAATAAAATTGTCTAAAGTAACTAATGTCACATGGTATGCTTTGTGTATATAGCAAGTTCTTTGATCTGTTTTAGACACTTGTGCATACAGTTTTATTTGTTCCATTTTTGATGCTTGTTTACAGCATGTTCTTTGTTCTATTTTAATTGATCGTGCATGTTGTGTTGTTTGTTCTATCTTGAATGCTTGTTTGTAACTTGTTCTTTGTTCAATTTTAGTTGCTCGTGCAAGTAGTGTTATTTGTTTATGTTGGATGCTTGTGTATAGTGTTTTGTTCTGTTGTGGATGCTTACGTACAATGATTTCTTTGTTCTTAGATGCTTTTGTATAATGTTCTTTATTCTGTGTAAATGTTTGTGTGTATAATGTGTTGTTTGTTTTATTTTATTCACTAATATCACAAACTACAAAGAACTATGTATTTTGACACTTTATTTTCTAATACTACACTTATTTGTAGTTATTTTATGTAAATTATTAATATTCTAGTATGTACATACTAAAAGAACAGCTACAATTCAGTAAATTCAATTGACAATATGTGGTATTTTAGTAAAAACTTTTGTGACATCTCTAAAAAAGGTATACATTTTGTACATTGATTATATATGTATCTGTTTAACGAAAGAGAAATAGGGAAAATTTCATAACATGTAAATAAATGAAATATCAGGATGTTCAGAAATATTTTTGTCTTAATTGTCTTGTTAGTTTTTGAAGTAAAATTTATGTAAAGTGAAGAAATTTCTACTTAATTATGAAGACATTTAAAATGCTGCTGATACATCATTTTGTTCAGTCCTTTTACTTATTTGACTTTAAAAGAATGACAGTATCACTTGCAACATTATGACTTTCTTTTTGAATTATGAAACTGCACAGTATTATGGATATAATGTATGCCACATTTGATGTTAGGGGACAAAAATGAATGGAAATGCATGCATTATGTGCCAGAACCAAGCTGAGATTCGTGGAAAAAATCTACAATGAAGTCTCTCACATCAGTGGTCTTTGCAGCAATGTTTTAAGGAAGCATGCAAAACCTTCTCCCAGTAATAATATAAATGAGGACACACTTGTGCCATGTTGGCAGGTATTAGGGAAAATTGTCTATTCCAATTTAAAATTAAGGATTTCATAAAGTTAAATGAATAAAACCTACCTCGAAATAGTTTGAAATATATATAAACAAGGAAGGCATTTTCAACAATCAAGTGATAAATAGCTAACATTGATTCTCAATGTGTTCCATTTACTGAGCTGCTACAGAGAAATTGAAAGAACATGCTGATAACTACAGTCATTGTGGTATAAATGTGGTGAGATACAGCTAACATTAACTTTTGTTTTCATGAAATTTAACATTTGTATGAGATTCTGTGCTTAGGTCATTATATTTTTTCAATTTTCTCCAATACTCAGTGGTGATGTTTATTATTAAAAGAAGTTGGAGACTAAGCACTTGTTCCATTTATAGTGCCTGTCATATTAAACCATTTAAAACAAATTTTAAAATTATAAACTAAAGATGTTGTAACTGTTATAGCCAATTTAATGTAGAGGGAAATATCTATATAAATACTTTATTGTTATGTACAGTCCTATAAGAAAGACATATAGAAGACTGAACCACACAAGAAATTGATACTGGAAATGGCAACATGCATTTAAGCACTTTGAAACTTGTGAACATTTCAGATGCTCAAAAGCCATACCACAATAAACTTTTTTGACATCCTAGAATGAATCAGTATTGAAGACACCAATTTCAGATTATTGCCAGTGTTGAATATCTCGGCCACTATGGTACTTCAACAATGAACTTGTATGGAACCAAAGAATCTATTAATAGTAAATATCAGACTTCAACAGTAAACATGTTAAATTTCAAAACTCAACACATCTTTGAACATGTTACATCTTCAAGACAGTGTGGTGTTGAATAGCTAAGATAGAAATGGTCAGTGCAGATAGCCCTCAAATTCAAACCAAGCAAGATTTTTAATACCAAAAAGTGCTGAATGCATTAAATCTGGAAATACTAAGTCACGTTTTCTGAAACCTATTAAGTGTTGAACAATGATTAAGATGCCAAAGTTCAAATTAGTGAACAAGAAATTTGTTGGATCCTTAAGTACTAAACAGCAATGAACATGCCAAATTACTAAACAGTAGATATCCATGTTCTATTGTACTAAATAAGATACCTCCATGCACTAAACAGTATGTCAGATCTCTACACAGAATGTATATCATATGATCAAGTATGTCATTGAATATAGTAAGTTTTAAAAACTGGCTAAAAATGGAACAACAGACTTCTAAAAAGTATTTGAAAGAAAACAGTAAAATTTAAATTATCAAGCATCACATATTAGCACTTAGTTTATAAACAAATATGCAGAATGCACATTAATTAGAACTAAAAATTGGAAAATTATTAAACAATATCTCCATTGATAAGCATGTGGATATTCTTGAAATCTGGTGTATTTTCTGCCCCTGAAAATGATTTTAATATGCTTTTCACTTTAGCTTTACTATAAAAGATTAAAATGTAGGGACTGACTGACTTGTATGTGCAAAACTTGTGTTTGATATGTTGTATTAATATAATATTGTGTCCATTTAAGTTGCATATGTTGTACATTACTTATTAATCTATTTTAAAACTAAAATAGTGCTAATCACTGGCTCCATACCTTGTTTATTAGTTGGAACAGAAAACTGAATAATGTTGTCAATTCCATGAATGAATAGCAGATCTTTGTATATATATATATATATATATATATATA